TTTTTTTTAATTTATCAATTTGACGTACGATCTCAATGGCTACAACTTTAATATATATATATATATATATATATATCAGTTACGAAACAACGTCGTCGATCATTGAGAGATATTTATTAGCTTAGCTCAAATGTATCAAATCTTTCGGCAAAGAATATTATGGTGAGCTAGATTTTGGATTTGAAACAAAGATGTTTTTGTTTTTGATAGATTAAAATAAGTTAATTAGTGATTAAGAAAGCTTAATTAGAGTGAGCATATGATATATTATTCATATTGGCCATTACACATAGCATAATGGCCTTATTCTTTTAATACCAACCTACCTTCTACCAACTTTCCTCTATGTCTCTCCAACCAAGGAAATTTAATAAATTCATCCTTTCAAAAGTGGAAACTTAGAAGATAGCCCTAAGCCAAGCTGGTGAAACAACCTCACATTCAAATATATCTTCTCTTTATGTTGTTTTGATCGAAATATTCGTAATCAAATAAGATATTTCAGCTGTGAGATCCTACATCAGTTGGGGAGGAGAACGAAGCACCCAATGTAAGAGTATGGAAACCTCTCCCTAACAGACGCATTTTAATAACTTTGAGGGAAAACTCGAAAGTTCCAAAGAGGACAATATCTGCTAATGTTGGGCTTCGAGCTGTTACATCCATCTTAGTTTATCCTTTAACTACATCCAACTGGAAAATGTTCCATTCTGATGCCATTTGTAACGCCCCGTGTATAGGATTTAAACGAGGATTTGAAATTCAGATTCAACAGTTTAAGGACCATCAATTCTTGTGCATCACCTACGACATGACCACGTTACCTACTTATTACTCAACATGGATCCTTCATTATGTTTTATCCTCACATGCTTCCTAGGAGTTCCCCTAATACATAAATCACTTTAGGTTAAGCACACTTAATTTTGAAGTTCCATGCTTTCTTAGTATCATATCCTTAAGGATCACTCTCATTCATATATGGTATCGATTCGTTTATGTATATCTCATTTACTCGATTGTCACACTTGTGTTTAATAGAACTCTAAAGTTTATTTTTATAAAAGAAAAAAAAAAGTAAAAAAGCAAATTGTCATCGAACATAGTCTATACTTTAGTTTTAAAAATTTAGCTTGAATTTTGAAAAAAACGCTTTTAAAAAGCGGGCAACGGATCAAAATTCGGTCGATACTTATAAAATTAATTAAAAAAAAAAAGAAGTAAAATAGTGATTTAAAGAAAGATTATAGAAATTTAACGTTGAAATGGGGTATGGGAACATTGGCAGTTGTTGGCATGATGAATGGTCGTAGAAAATTGGGGTGGCCACAGTGTGAGCACTGTGAAGAACAAGATTGAACCAAAACATGGATTAGTTTAGTTTAATAATAATAATAATGATAATAAAGCAAAAGGATTGGAGAGGGTGAAAGGACGAAAACACCCTGAAATGAGAGTGAGTTGGCCGACAAATAAGAGTGATGGATATGAATGGATCCCAATCCCATGTTTGCTTTTACACACCATTTTCTTCTTCATTTCTTCTTTTTTCTTCTCTCCTTTTCTTCCCTTTTTCATCACTTCCTTTTCCTTTTCCCCTTTTCTCTCTTCCTCTTCTTAATCCCCATGGATACTCCTCCTTGGCCACAGGTAATCTCTCTCTCTCCTCCTCCTCCTCCTCTTTCTCTCTCTTAACCTCTCTACTTCTAAGCTTTTTAACTTTTCATTTCATGGCTTCTCTTTCCCTTTTCCTTTACATCAGCTCCTCTAAATTCTCTAATGGCTCATCCAAAAAACATGTTTTTTTCTCTAATTTTCATATGGGTCATCGAAAAAACACTTTTTTTTCTCTAATTTTCAGATGGGTCGTCGAAAAAACACTTTTTTTCTCTAGTTCTTTGATGGGTCATCGAAAAAAGATAATTTTTTTCTCTAATTATCAGATGGGTCGTCGGAGAAACACTTTTTTTGATCTGGGTTTGAGAAATGGAGTCTTTTTTGATGATTAGGGTAAAAAAAACGCATGAATTTGATGATGAAATGATTGATTTTTGTGGATTTGGTTATCAGTTTGCAGGTGGTGGAGTGGTTGTTAAACAAATGGAAGGAGGTGAGTCGTCGAGTTCTTCAAAGGCTGGTAATATTAATATTAATAATGTTAATATTAATATTAATAATAATAACAATAATGGTAATTTGTTGGAGAGAAAGGCAAGGCCTCAAAAGGAGCAAGCTTTGAACTGTCCAAGGTGTAATTCGACCAACACAAAATTCTGTTACTACAACAATTACAGCCTGTCTCAGCCGAGGTATTTTTGTAAGTCTTGTCGGAGGTATTGGACGGAAGGTGGCTCTTTAAGGAATGTTCCAGTGGGTGGCGGCTCAAGGAAGAACAAAAGATCTTCACTTTCAGCACCAGTTGATAAGAAGATCAACGGCTCTGATCAAAACCCTAAAATGATCCACCATGCTCATCAGGATCTCAATCTTGCAATCTTCCCTCCAAATAATAATAACCCTATTTCTTCTTCTTCTTCTACTACTTCTTCTTCTCACCTTTTCGGTTCTTTCATGGCGCCGCCGCCGCCGCCGGCTGCGGCGGCCGGAGTCTTCAATGGCGCTGGTGGGTTTGGATTTAATGAGCTGAAACCATCAAGCTTAAGTTTTTCCCTGGATGGGTTTGAGAGTGGCGGTGGGTATGGGAATCATCATCATCATCAAGATCATCAAGATCATCAAGATCAGACGGCTGTTATGTTTCCAATTCAAGATTTGAAGCAAAGTAATGGGAGTGATGAATTTGAACAGAATAGAGGAGGAGGTCGGCATGGAGGGGATAATTCAAGTGGTGGATTTTGGAATGGGATGTTGGGTGGTGGATCATGGTAAAATTTCATTCTTTTACTGTTGTTTTTTTTTTACTTTAAATAGATATGTCACTAAAAAAAGATGAAGAAAAATGGTGTGTCTTTTTTTTTTTTTTTTTTTTTTTTTTTTTTTTTTTTACC